GAGTAAAATTGTTTCAGCCCATTCATTTACTCTTAACATTAATTGCAGTTAATTAATTAGAAACACAATCTACGTTATACTATAGTTATTAAAATATTTCATATGTTACAAACATATAAAATTAAGTTCAAATCATTAATCGAATAATCTCTTCTAGTAGTATATTTATTTTATAAATATTGATTTATTAATGGATATCTACGATCTAAAATACACGGAATTTGGATGATAAGTGAAAATACTTTATAATTATACACTGTTGGGATGTAACTCGAGTTAGTGCGTTGTCATACATGACAGCATAAATATTTGATAAATTGCCCATGCACTATTTTTCTAGATATTGCAATTATTAGCCTTTTGTCACGTTATCCATGTGAGTGACGAAAACTTCCAAATTTCTCAATTATTGCTAAGAACGGCTTCTAAACCATGTTTATCAATGATTTTGGGTTAGTGTCATAAGTCCAAAATATTAATAAACAATTAAAAACAGAATTAAAGAGATGAAATTCATTTGATAAGTCTCAATCTAATGAAATTTTTGTGTAATCTCAAGAGATATTTATTAATATATTTAATCTTATGATATTTTTAGTGTATTATTGATAAACATGACCCGTTTAGTCACATTACTATGATTTTGTATTTTTTTCTTTTTTTGTCTACATTTTTTCACCCCACGAAGGAAATGTAGGTTGAACAACCCATTACATGTGACTAGTTAGTTAGCCAAAACTTATTTGAATATTTGTCGAATGTAAAATAATTTGAGTAGTTTTTTAAATTTGTTGAACGTATTAAAGGATAAAAATTGAATACAAGAGATTTTTCCTGTTAAAAGTATTAATTACAAATCGTTATTGGCTATGAGAAAACAAATGAAAATGGATAGAGTCTTAGGCCCGGTATCTCATGTAAGTTGTGCTTCAGGCCCAGTATCTGATACACAAGAGATATATCATATATCTAATCCTTGAACGATCACTTGTAGTGGTATGTTTCTGTTGTTTTGTTGGACTAGAGACTAGTAGATTATGTATCACTCTTTGTTCTTCTGAGGATTGGTTGTTCAGCAATGCATATAAATTTTTAACACACTAATTGATCGATACATTAATGAATTATTTGTGTGTTAAAAAGTTATATACATTCCATCAATTTTCATCTACAACATATAATCAACCTTTAATTTATATGTTTGGGCTAATTGCTGGTTCTGTCTAGTTCCTCTAGTAGTTAAGTTAGAGCCAGTGGGCTTCAGCCTTCGGAAAGAAGAAGCTTAAGGAGTGTGAAGAAACTGGCATTAATTTTTTTGTATTTTCTTTACAAATATTTAGAGTATGATGTAGTCAACAAGGCTGACTCTAGTGGTCCTAGACATTGTCATAGTGTAGTACAGTAACTTGAGTCCGGTTAGGTAAGTCTTGAACCGGACCGTATAGATAGATAGAGACGTGTAGTTTTTGCCTGTGTGTTATGAAGTCAGCAATTTCTTTTGAGTCAAAAGTTTTGACCAATGAGGTTCGTGGAAGTCTCTAGCTGTATTCACACATAAGATAATACACCTAACAAAATTATTGAAACAGTGAGGTTGATGATGTAATGCCTAAATCATTATTGGGTTGATTACACACCTTCTTCCTCCTCATGTATGCAATTATTCTATAGATCCATGTGGTGTTGAGTCTTTACGTAGAAGCTTTATATGTTGTACACAACGTAGGCCTTTTTTTCCGAAGTTATTACACGTGTGTGTAGATTCTTCTGTACATCACATATGATGTATATAATTCCAAATAAAAGTGACCACTTTCTTTTAGAAGACTTTCGTAGTGGCTGATTGGTTAGTAGATTGAGATATATATGTTTAGAGTTTAGACCATAATCATGTTAAGATCTAGCATTAACAGGTGTATTAACACAATTAACTGAAAATAATGTGTGCAGTCTGTTTTGGAGGTCTGTCCACATACATGTTTTTGGATTTTTGTTATAGAATCGTTTAGTAAGGTGTGTTTTTCCGTAAATTAATTGAAAGAAAAATACTTTTTATTAATTTCTCATAACAAAGTTATTTTAGAAAGACAGATAAAGTACAATATGAATTTGTTTTGTATAGTTTTTTATTGATAGAAAATCTGACATAGGAATGTTATCCATTATTGCTCAAGGATATGGATTGGTGGTCTTCGTATCTCGAATTATTCATCACTACTTTGTGTACGTACAACTAATTATCTTTGATTTAGGGTTAACAATTGTATGAATATAAGTTTCAAAAAAGAACAATTGTATGAATAAAAAAACAAGTAACATATATAGAGACATAATTAAGTGGAGGAGCCTGCGAGACATTATGGCTTTCATCATCTTTTATATCTTCTGTTCATAAAATTCATTCTAACCCTTTTGTGATTATCACAAAAACCCTTTTCTTTTTCTTCTAATCATTCCTTTTTAATTCCTCATCTACATTTTTAATTCCTTGGATTATTTGGGACTATCTGATATACACACATAAGCAATGAATATACATACATGTGGGGTCGACCACACGCCCATTTTGAGCTTATCTAAACAAATAATTTGGAGAATAAAACTTTAATTTCGTTGTTCTTTCTTTAATATTTGTAAAATTCTATACAAAGTTTTCAAGTTTTATGTGTAGTATCACTTTTATGTGTATTTGTTATTCATGTTAAGCTTGAGCAATCTCCACAGAACAGGAGACAACCACAATTTAATATATACAGAACTACTCCATTATCTTTACATAGTTTATTTTGTGACAGATTATCATTGATGCTAAAGATTATTGTATAATTCTTTGAACTTATCAATTCGTATACTATGAAGTACGCATTTTTTGCTGTTAGCCAAACCGATTTTCACTTGTCTTTTTCAGCAACACAACTTAATTTATTTCATTATCCTCAATATGGTTAAGATAC